ACCATCCTGGTCAACATGGTGAAACCCCGTCTCTACTAAAAATACAAAACATTAGCTGGGCATGGTGGCACGTGCCTGTAATCCCAGCTACTCAGGAGGCTGAGGCAGGAGAATTACCTGAACCCAGGAGGCAGAGGTTGTGGTGAGCCAAGATCGTACCATTGCACTCCAGCCTGGGTAACAAGAGCGAAACTCTGTCTCAAAAAAAAAATGTGGTACTTAATGCACAACGGAGTACTATTCAGCCATTAAAAAGAATGAGATTCAGTCATTTGCAATGACATGGATGGAACTGGAGGTCATTATATTAAATGAAATCAAACAGGGTGGTTAATGGGTCCAAATATTAGGAAGAATAATACCTAGTATTAGTACAGCAGGATGGTTACAGTCAAAATAATTTAATTGTACATTTTTAAATAACTAAAAGAGTATCATTGGATTGTTTGTAACACAAAGGATAAATGTTTGAGAGGACAGATACCCCATTTTCCATGATGTGAATATTAGCCATCACATGCCTGTATAAAAACATCATGCTGCTACCAATTCATTGGTAACTTTGGGGTGGGGGGCACTGAAATGGGTCAATTACCACTTTCTAACCCTGAATCTATGGTACATGGAATAAAGAGTAAATGTATAAAATAAATATTTAAAGATTTGTCTAAGAGGGCCCACAAAACTATTTCCTCTAGGTGTTTTTACTGTTAAAAAATCCCATAATTAGATAGAAAGCCATAATCATACTTCCTCTATTATTACTAGTGTAGATACAGACTGTAACAGCTATAGTCCAACATTTCAAATATTTTAACTAAGATAGAAAAGGTTGCCAGTGGGTCCAGGAAAGGGAGAAGTTGGGAATGCTGAGAAAGTCCCACCAAAGGAAACCATATGTCATGCTGAGCTCTCTATATTCACCTAAAAAGTGATCATGTCAGAGAGAGTTTGAAATTATGAACTCTAATTCTATAAATGGAGAAATACTGTGACCTTAAAAAGACCAAAATCATTTCATTACATGGACAACCATGGCATTATTTCTACAGAACCAGAGAAGAATATGTTACATCATTTCATTATTAATTTAGTAATAACAGAGAAGTGGGACATAACATGATGAATTCAAAATGTGTCTTACTTGTTACAAAAGCTGAATGGTAATATCCACAAGAGATCCAGGAGACAGGTTTCCCAGTGGTCACTTGATGAGGGACACAGGCATTAGGCATATTTGGTAAGCCAATTTGTCCTTCGGAATTGTCACCCCACATAAAAAGTCTTCCATCCTCTATAAAGAAAAATACAAGCGGGAGAAAGGGTTTTAAAAGACAGGCAGGCTCTCAAGCTATTATACTTCCAAAACATCATTTATTTTTTAATTCATAAAAATTATGTATCTTGATAATAAAGAACTACTAAGACATTTATACTAGCTAGCTACTTTACAGTTCAATTTGTACTGTGAAATGCTTCTATAATAATAAAGAACACTAAATAGCCTGATTGTAAATCACTTTAGTCACGGACATATTTTTATCTTGTTAGCAAAGACAGAATGCCCTCTCCTACAATCACCCTTTCCCATTCTAACGTCTCTAAACAGAAATGTTCTCCTCCTTCTAAGCAGTCTACCTGCAACTGAACTGAAAGACAGCACAGGTCACATTAGACATTTGCAGGTCAAAAAAGCCTGGAAGACCTTGCTCTTGAAAGCACTGTGGAGAGGATGTTTTAAAAAAGAACAAAATAAATGTATTTCACTATATTTTTTTCCTTATAATTTAAACCTGAAAACACAGAATCTAGTCTCAGAGAATGAGGATATAATAGCATGAACAGCATCTCAAAAATAGGTAACTATAATTTCTGATAAGGATTTTGATGTCAGAAAAAGCTAACCTAGGAAATATTTTTTAGAAAGGAATTATCGAAACTTATTTATTTATATATTTTAATTAATTTAATTTTTTAATGTTTGAAATGGTTAAATAATGCAAAACAAGTAACTGAAAATAAGGACTGAAAGAAGGATGTCAAATTGCTAACTTAATTGCTGACAAAGTCTAAAGAACTGAGGTCCAGATACAACTCAGACTTTCCTGATAAAGTAACACTGGATGTTACACAGTCTCCTGTTTGAAACAAAGCAGTGAACTAGCAGCTTCAGTGAGATCAAGCTGATCTTGACTCCAAATTTTAAAGAAATATCTCATATGGGCTTTTGATAGAGAGAGCAGAAAGGTACGATGACCATTACAAACCAAATCTTAACATATGCTGCAACAGATTTCTGTGGATGTTTCTGATAGCAACTTCAGTTAAAACTGTGAGAATAACTTTCAGAGCACACAATGAAAATAATATTTAAGAATATCTAAAGGAGTAGAGACACAGCATAGCTTAGAACTTGTCAATTACTTTTTAAATATATATGTACATTCTAACTCAAAATAAGCATAAAATTGCAATATGTCAAGATTTAAAATTATATTTTAAATGTGTTCTGAAAGGACATAGATAGTCAATGAAACAAAACTAAACAGCAATGCTGTCTTCAGTTTACTGAGCTGGCATATCTTGATCTATAGGAAAGGAATGTGTCCCAGATTGAAAAGGAAGTAAGTCTCACCAGTTAGGGCAGCTGAAGTATTAGATCCAGCAGAGAGCTGTTTAATCTTATGCTGGGATGTAAAAAAGCTAATTAGATGAAAAGTGGTTCTTTCTTCAGTGTCACCAAGCCCCAACTGTCCTTCATCATTTCCCCCAGTTGCATATACATTGCCTCCTTCTGCACATGAAAAAGAAGACATCAATAGACTATAGAGTCCCTCTTTTTACAAGACAGGTCAGTGTAGAGCAGTGATTTCCTCTATTAACGGTGAAGAAAGTTGAAAACTATCATTATCCTATTATTTCGTAGACAACTTCATTTCATTGTCAAAATAAAACAAAACAAGCAAGGCCACATATTTTTGTGAGATTTGAGAAATCAATCTAGAATGTAACTAGCAATTGAAATGAATAGAATGCATGAAACATATTTCTTGCTAATATACCACTTTATTAATTCAGAGTAAAAACAAAGAAAGTAACTTCCAAACTAGTTTAAAATGCAAATCTAACTATTTTAAAAGAGATGTGTTCATTCATTTTAACTTCTGTACCCAGTAAAGCTAAGATATAATAGTACAAATGAGTAAAATGAGGGAAATCCAAGAAGAATCTAATTAGAAACATAATTCTATGTTGTATTTATTTTAACTTCCTAGTTAAATAGGAGGGCACTATAGCACTCTGTTTAGGAGGCAAGACTCCACAGCCAGACTGCTTGAGTGCAAATTCTGGCCTGCCACTTACCAAAACTGTGGGATCTTGGGTAAGCCATAACCTCTGTGTGCCTCATTTTCCTCATCTATAAAATGGTGATAATAATAGTACCTACTTCATAGAGTTGTTATGAAGATTGAATTAGTTGACATTTATAAAATTCTTAGAACAGCATTTGGGTCATTTAAAGTATGTAAAAATGTTTGTTAGTTACTCTCTTAATTAAATAAAAAGTACATCATGCCTAGATTATAAATATTACCAGTAAGCTGTAAATTAATGAAGATTTTTAACACACACATTAAATTAGCTATCTATGTCTTAAATATATACATAAGGTTAAAGCCTTGCTAAATTATGGGGCAAAATCAGCGTGAATGAGTTAAAATTTTAAAGTTATTGTTATTTTTTATTTTATCATTTTAGGAAAAGAAGAAACCTAATTGGGGAAACAAGACTAGCTTTCAAATGGAACATACTATAAGGTCACATGAAATTGGAGTGCACAATTTAATACATATGGAGCAAACCAGAGTTGGTGAGATGTTGAAATAATTCAAACAAATAAATGAGCACAAAGTTGAACAGCCACAAAATGTTCCATGGAAGAAGTAACACTTAATGGGATCTCAAAAAATAATCTGAAAAGGCTAAGAGAAAGAGAAAAGACACTTCAGAAAGAAAAACCTATGAGTGGTGAAGAGGAGCTGAGGCAGTGAGAATATCCTGAAGACAGAATCAGCTGGGGGGCAGGGGTGTGGGGCAGGGGGAAGGAGGTAGGAAGTACTGCTCAGTGGTCAGGTCCTGGAGATCTAATTGTTCCAACAGCATTTGCTGAAGATACTATCCTTTCTCTATTTAATTTCCTTGGCATCTCTGCCAAAAATCAAGTGAGCATATACATATGGGTCTACTTGTAGACTCTATTGTGTTCCATTAATCTTTGTCTATCTTTTTGCCAATACCACACTGTCTTGATTACAGTAGCTTTACTGTGGGTCTTGAAACCGGGTAATGCCAGTCCCCTAATTTTGTTATTTTTCAAAATTGTTTTGGTTCTTCTATGTCATTTGCTTTTCCATATAAATTTTAGAAGCACTTTGTTAATTTCTACAAACACACATACACACACAAAAGCTGGTATGGATTTTGATGGGAATTGTGCTCATTCACATCAACAGCCTTTTGGATGCCTTCTACTTACCCTTAGTAAGGAAGAGAGAAGAGCAAAAACAGGAACAACCAGTCCTTAAGGTGGACACATAGGTTAGGTCACGCTGTCCCATGATACAATCCAAGAAAAGAAGCTTTTTCTTCAGCCACTTGGCATTTACATGTATATTTGCAAAGGCCAATGTGTACTTGCCACTGACATTTTAAAAAACCCTAATTTTACTATTGCCAAAGTACAATCTCTATCAATTTTACAAAGCCACATTACTACAATGAGACCTCAGTTCTCAAAGTCAGGCAGGAAATCATACAGGTTGAGCACTATACCTGTTGACACCAGGGTGTGGGTCCTTCCACAGGCAGCTAATTTCACTTTTTCAGGTTTTAGAGCTAAAAAAATTTTAAAAATGGGACAATTATTTTACAGCAATAAAAATGAACAATATTCCAGGACAAATGGTAACCAAGTGATGGAACTGAGATTTAACAGCAGGCTTGTCTGATTCCAAAGTCAATGTTCTTAACTAGCAAACCAGAGGTTTTCAGAACTGGTTATATGTCATCATAACCAGTGGAGCTTTGAATACAATACAGATATCTTAGCCCCATCCCTAGAGAATCTGAGTCAATGGGTCTAAAGTAGGGGCTGACATATATATATATATATTTTAAACTTCACAGGTAGGTGGGGTGTGGTGGCTCACACCTGTAATCCCAGCACTTTCGAGTCCGAAATGGGTGCTTGAGCTCAGGAGTTCTAGACCAGCCTGGGCAACATGGTGAAACCCTGTCTCTACAAAAAATACAAAAATTACCTGAGCGTGGTGGTGCGTGCCTGTAGTTTCAGCTATTCAGGGAGGGGTTGCTGAGGAACCTAGGAGGTCGAGGCTGCAGTAAGCAGAGATCACGCCACTGCATTCCAGCCTGGGTGGCAGAGCGAGACCCTGTCTCAAAAAATTAAAAAAAAAAAAAAAACAAAAAAAAAAACTCTACAGGTAATTAATATGTGCTGAGACCTACTGTATTCTATTATGTTGCCTCCTCACCAACCTGATCCATCAACTAACCTGCCATCACCATTATCAAGCTCACCTTCTACCACATACCACATTCAATGAAAAACTGTAAGACCAATATTCACAAGCATACACCAATGAATGAAAGTTGTTCATTCATTCGTCAACATATTCAAAAAACATTTAAAGAACATCTCCTAAGTGCTTCACATAGGGACTGCAAAAAGATGACTAAGACAGAATCCCTGGTCTCAAGAATCCCATAGTCTAGAATCCCATAACATAATCCTGTTAGCTTGTCTAATAGATAAGATATTTGAGAATAAGGGTCATGGTCTCTGTGAATATCCCCAAGTGTTTAGACTGTGCTCAATAAATACTTTTTGAACACACTGAATACTTTAAAAGTTCCATAAAAATTCCCAAAAACAATAAAAAAAAGAAAACTAAAAAAAAAAAAATTCCTAAAAACAGCATCAATATGAGCTACGCTGAAATTTTCAGCTGAAATCAAAATTTAGCCAGGATGATAAAAAATATTGCTCTTACTACATCTCAAGGAATCTCCTTCACCCTTTCAAGTTTAGCTGATATTCACAGGTTATACCCAAATAGGTTTTGCATATGAGATCCTGAAAGCTTTGTAAGGATATTATATATGCAATAATTTCTGGAACACTGCTGATTTCAAATATTTTGTCCTGTTGTTCTTTTACTCTAGTACTAATCAGTCCCAAGTCTCAATGTTCTGTTTTACTTCATCTAGTCACTATATAAAGCAGGATAAGTATATTTTATAGAAACAGCAACTAAATAGAAACATAATGTCCACAACTCTACTAAATGAGACAATCTCAAAATTCTAACACATGATGCTCTTTGTTCTCTGTACACACAATAATAGTAATATTTAAGTCGTTTTACAAACAATAAAAAAGGGGGGCTGGGGGGATGTTCAAATGCAATACTGTAAAATTACTACTTCCTTTGTGGGCTCTGGGTAAAATCAATCAGATTTTTAGACCCTAACATATGAAAGCAGTTCTGAATATCATATAAAAGATAAGTTAAATGCTAATAATATTCAAGCAAATGTCAGAAAATAAAGAACTAAAGGCTTTATTATGTACGACATTAAAGAACTACACAGTCAACATAAAAATACTTTATAGAGTTTGTTAAGTATTTAAAGTGAAAAGATGAAAAGATTCCAAACCTTTGACGCATGTTGGTCTGCTGACAGCTGACTTTGATCCTAATCCTAACTGACCCCAGTTGTTACTGCCAAACACGTAAAGTTTATTATTTCCTGGTGGGAGGAAAAAAGAAATAATCAATTGAGGCATTTTTCACATAATGTAAGATGAGGTCATCACAAAGCAATAAAAAGCTATACTTTAAAAATGTCACTGCTTTTCTGTGTTGAAACAAGTTACCTTGTTCATCTATGTATAACCAGATTCTATTAGGTGGAAAAGAGCTTCTAAAATTATATAACAGTTTCTTTGTTTTTGTTTTTTTTTTTTTTGACAGAGAGAGTCTCGCTCTGTCACCCAGACTGGAGTGCAGTGGCACGATCTTGGCTCACTGAAACCACCACCTCCGGGGTTCCAGCAATTCTCCTGCCTCAGCCTCCCAAGTATCTGAGACTATAGGCACATGCCACCACACCCAGCTAATTTTTTTTTGTGTGTGTGTATATATATATATTTTTTATTGCATTTGAGGTTCTGGGGTACATGTAAAGAACATGCAGAATTGTTGCATAGGTACATACATGGCAATGTGGTTTGCTGCCTTCATCCCCATCACCTATATCTGGCATTTCTCCCCATGTTATCCTTCCCCAACTCCCTACACTCCACTGTCCCTCCCCTAGTCCCCCCACCACAGACCTCAGTGTGTGATGCTCCCCTCCCTGTGTCCCTGTGTTCTCATTATTCAATATTCGCCTATGAGTGAGAACATGCAGTGCTTGATTCTCTGTTCCTGTGTCAGTTTGTTGAGAATGATGGTTTCCAGGTTCATCCATGTCCCTACAAAGGACACGAACTCCACAGAATACTATGCAGCCATAATTTTTGTATTTTATTTTAGCAGAGACCAGGTTTCACCATATTGGTCAGGCTGGTCTCGAACTCCTGACCTTGTGATCTGCCTACCTTGGCCTCCCAGAGTGCTGGGATTACAGGCCAGCTTTTTAAAAAAATTATATTTAAATAGATTAATTCCAAGAAAGGTGTGTATATAGAAAATCACAGTTAAATATACTAAGGAAACTTAAAATGTAAAATACCTCTTGATGACTGATTTTGTGAAGAATTATCTGGAAAAGTTAAAAACAACACCCTTGATGCATTTTCAATATGTTTAAAACACAGCAGCACAGCTGTAACATAATATTTAGAATTTTCTACGTATTACTGTACTCATTCAGGATAGTTATACTAACCTGTAACAATAGCACTATGTTCATCTCCACATGAAAGATGTACAGGAACATCATTTTTAAACCAGAATTTACCAGGAATATTTTCAGCAAATTTACTTTTCCCAAATACAAACACAGCACCCGAATCTGCAAATACAAGATGGTCTCTATTTTATAACTTTTAGTATGTTGCCTGTTATTAAAATACCTGTTCAGCAATTTATCCATACAAACCCCTTGTTTCATGACAGCTTTGCCCCAACTCTGGCAATATTTAAGCCTTCCTTCTTCCACCTTAATTCAGTCTTTCTTTTCCTCAGACTCCATTCTAGTTTGACCTATGAAATCTGCTAAATTGAACACGTATTACTCATATACATGCATAAAGAAAGAAATACACTATCACAGGAAGGCAGTCTTCTATTACTAATAGTTCTGCTGTCACCAAGTAGATGCCTATTCCCTGGAATGAAACAGTATAATTTGTGCCGTTCTTGTTCTGGTTAACACCTCATGGTCTGGCCTCAAACTGAGAGCTTTTCTCCAAACACAGAAACAGGACAGTATTGAGTTTACTCATTAGCATCATCAGGATATCTATGGGGAGGGTCTCTATCAGTCAATTTGGATTTTCTTTGGTCCAGTTTTTCTAAGGAACCTCCAGTGTTCTCATGCAAGGGAAACAATGTTAGCCCAAATGGTGAACTCTTTCTATTTTTGTTGAGACGGTCTCAATCTGTCACCCAGGTTGAAGTGCAGTGGCTAACTGCAGCCCCCACCTACTGGCCCCAAGCAATCCCCCCACCTCAGCCTCCTGAGTAGCTGGGACTTATAGGTATGTGCCACCACATCCAGCTAAATTTTTTATTTTTTGCATAGACGGGGTTTTACCATGTTGCCCAGGCTGGTCTCAAACTCCTGGGCTCAAGCAATACACCTGCCTCAGTCTCCCAAAGTGCTGGGATTACTGGCGTAAGCCACGACACCTGGCCAAAATGGTGAACTCCTAATTTCTCTATTGGTAATCCCAATGAATACCCATAAAATCAGAGACAGCACAGAGAGAAACAAATTACTCCACCACTATCTCTTTCATTTGAACCAAGGGATAGCAGCTAGAAAAAAAAAAAAAAAAAAAAAACCATAGGCTTTAAAGGCAATTAGGTATTCAAAGGTTGTTGTAAGGATTAAATAAGATGACATGTGCAAAGAACTTAGCCCAGAGCCTAGCATCCTCAAAGTGTAAGCTCATAGCTGCCTCTGTAAACTCTTCCTATACCATAAGAGTTGGAAATGATTACTGGCTTCTCTGAACTATGATCTGCAGAATTTATAACACAGCAGCACATCTGTGTAACAGTTTGATTAGAGAGATTGCTAGGTAGCATAATATGTAAGAGGAAGTCATCACAAAGCAATAAAAAGCTACACTTTATGAGGTGGGTGGATAATGTGAGGTCAGGAGCTTGAGACCAGCCTGGCCAACATAGTGAAGCCCCATCTCTACCAAAAATACAAAAATTAGCCGACCGTGGTGGTGAGCGCCTGTAATCCCAGCTACTCGGGAGGCTGAGGCAGGAGAATCGCATGATCCCGGGAGGCGGAGGTTGCAGTGAGCCAAGATGGGGCTGTTGCACTCCAGCCTGGGCGACAGACTGAGACTCTGTCTCAAAAACAACAACAACAAAAAAAAAAAAAAAACAACACTGCTTTTCTGTATTGAAACACAGAGTTCACCATTTGGGGTGACAATGTTGTTACCATTACCATCTCTCTAATCAATTGGGGTAACAATGTTACCCCATATTGCCTAGCACAAAGTAATCCTTCTGTGTTCTACTTTTCACACAGAAAAGGTCCCCCTTACACACATGTATATTCGTAACTGTTGAATGTTATGTTTACTGATTCATCATAACGGTGAGTAGGTAGGTAGTCAAATATAACTTTCAACACGGTTACTATAAAAGACAGATTACCCAAGTCGTCAACAAAGGAGCACTTCAACTTTTCCTGATTTCGAGGAGAATTCAGAATGCTTAGGGATCCAAGATAAAATGAAAAGATCCTCTCAATACAGCTACTCAGGAAGTTTCTAATTCTCATCTTACTCATGCACTACAGTTATAGAGATGTCTTTTTCTCTTTCCAGAAACACTACATAAGAAAGGACGGTTTATCTTGCCCTGCAAAACAGTATCACAAAATGCCATGGTCCTAGGAGATCGAAGAGGAGTACCCGTGGATGTTGAGATTTAACAGTCTTACCTCAAGTCATTACCTGATCCGAGTAGTATTCACAAACTGTTGTGGTACAGCATCATTTTGAAGAGAGACTAAAAACCCCATCAGTTCCCAATAACCACTTAAACACACACATACACCAAATAGTAAGTCAGATACAGCTTTTGCGAAAATCCCAAGGAGGATGATCACATATAAACTAATTCGTACCAGAAACGAAAACATAGCAAATATAAGTAAGTATTAACAATAAATATTAATATGCAAGAGACTAGCCACTGTGGACAACGTTTTGAGAACCACTGTGAGGCATGTCACTTCGAACTAATAACTGAGTTGGGAGACCAGGATCTAGAAGAGAATCTGGGTTTCCCCAGAATGAATTATTTTAACATTTTAACTGTTTTGTCCTTGCTTCCCTGATACCCTCACCCCAAGTCAAGTTTTGGTGGCTCTGCTCTGGCCCTGTGACTTCTACTGTCAATTTGCATGATCATTTTGTTTACTTTCCTGTATGTCGCACTAAATTGTGAACTGCAGGAGAATTGAGAACTTCCAGGAGCATGGAAGAAAATATACATATTTCAGTAAAGGTATGATTCTGCTCAAATCCAGTGTTTTTTCAAAATGTTGGTCATGACCTATTAGTGGGTAAGAAAAATCAATTCAGAGGTTCACGATCAGCATTTTTAAAGAAATGCATTATCGAAAAGCTGTGTGTGGAATCTAAGTGCTTAAAACAAGGCCTGCTTCAGGAGACATCTAATTCTGCTACACAGTATGTATGCGGTATCGGGTCACAATGACAAAAGTATTTCTAACTACGGAGCTCAGGGGAAAAACAAGGCTAAGAAACACTCACTAAAGGGTCCCTATTCTCCCTCCTTGTCCAATTCATTTCCAGCATCCCCTTTTGCCCCACAACGCTGATCAATCACTCTTTATCGCATTCAATACATAACTGGGTGCTCAGGATCTCCAAAGTGCACACATCTGGAGTCTGCACTTTGGAAAGTTTACAGGGAGGTAAAAAGTGTCCCGGCCTTCAAAAAGCTCATCAAAAGCTTATTTTAAAAGCAGAAGAAAGACAGGCACCTCCTTTCCCCTTGTCCCCCATCCTGTTCATCCCGTCCAGTCCTCTGACCTCAGTCATTGGTGGGAGCGCAACCAGAGCTCCCGCCCCAGTCGGGCCACCCAGCCTCGGGCCTGTCCCGACCGGGCTGGTCCAGAGGTGGGGCCTGGCCGCCTGCGTGCCCGCGGACCCTCCCTCCCGGCCTTCCGCCACCGGCGCGGGCGCCACTCACCGGGCATCAGCTCCTCAGGGTCCCTCATACCAAAGCGATACAGCCAGCCCGTCGAGGGCTGCCTGATCCGGACTAAGGCCGCCACTTTGTCCCGACGCGGGCCGCAGAAGCGTCCCTGTTCCTCATGCAGAAACTCCGGACTTCCGCGCTCCCGGACGTCAACAAACGGCCGCTAGGGGCAACGGGGGCGGAGCTGTGGAATGCAAGTCGGGGCAGGCGCCGCGGGGGAGGGGAACGGAAGCCGGGCGGCTAGTAAGGGGCAGGCTCAGGAATACCGGGCGGAGCGGTAGAGACCACGCGCCCTCTGGCGGCCTGGAGCAGAGAGGCGGCCACACAGCTCAGTGATGCCCTGGAGTCTGCGCCTTTGGGCCGCTGGAGGTCCAGTCACCGAAGGGAGCCTGCCCATGAGCGGCAAACGTCACAGATTTCATACTCTGTGACATAAGCAAACATCGACGCACAATTATGATACTACTTGTAATAATGACCAGCTGGAACATTAAAGCAGCTAGGCACTGTTAAACAAATTCCCAGCATCTAAACCAAGGTCTGGCCTATACTGAATGCTCATTACATATTTATTGAATAAATGAGTACTATTACAACCCTGCAAGGTGATTAATGTCACCCCTGTTTAAGGATGTGGAGATTATACAATAAGAGAGCTGGAGTCTAGTGCAGCTAGTCCAGCCTGTAGTCCACAGAAAGTAAAAGCTGAGCTGTATATATATGGTCCACTACTCACAGAACATGCACAAAGGAGTTCACCAATAACCCAACATCATTGTTCTAGAATTTGCTCAGTGATGTTATATGATGCAAGATTTCCCGTGCATCAACATTTGACTATCATGAATTAAAGAAGCTAAAAGCCATCTTCCAGGATGAGCAGATTTATGTGCATTTGGTAGTTGTGAACATGGGCTCTACAATTAGACACAGCTGCATTAAGGGATCCCTGAATTACTCATGTGTGTTACCAACTCTTTCTCAGGAACTTTGCATTAAAATGGAGAGGAGATCTTAAACTATCAGATACACAAAGAATAATTTACTTACAAAGCAAAGTGGAGGTTACTAAGGAAGTGTTTAACAAGGAGCATTGATCTGGTGTGGGGGCGTTTATCTGAAGAAAGAACATTAAATTTAAGAACTGGAGAAAAAGAAGCCAGGAGGGGGAGAGAGCTCTGGGCAGAGAGTAAATTGTGTGTAAAGGTTCATAAGAGCTTGACTCTTTCCAGGAACACCTAGAGGCAAGGCTGGTTCCTGGCAAGGTGGCAAGGTCTTGGGCCTATTATGGATCTAAGATTTTCTCCTAAAGACAATGTGAAACCACTGAGAAGTTTTAAGCAGTAACACAACAGGACAGGATCAGTTATGTCTGTCCCCTGAAATCATTCTGCCTTGTCTGGATGCTTTGTAGAGAATAAACTGGAGCAGTGAGAAGGGTTCAGAGGCTATTGCAGCAGTTCAGACATGCGGTCAGGCTAGCTCGGAGTACAGTTCATTGGTGCCAGAGAGGAGCAGGCAGATTTGAAAATATTTTATGTGGTAGAATCAACAGGAAATAGTTTCTGACTATTGACTTCTAGATAGTGCTGGACTACCAAATAGCTCTTAGAGCAACAGCAAAGATGTGGCCCTAAATTATTCTGGAAAGGATTTGATATTCATTTTTAGAGCATCATAATTATTACTATGGGAAAATGAGAATTTTTAAAGATTTACTTTAAGATATGCAGTCTTTTTTAATTTCAAAATAGAGTAAGGCACATTTTGGTGCTAAGCATCCCAAAAGACATTGATGCAGCCCTACTCCAAGGTTTCCAACATAAGCAAATAGCAGGAGGGGTCACCGTTTACTGAAATGGAGAACACTGAGGAAGGTGCAGGAGACATTGGAGTTAGGTAAATGGGGCAAAGAGAGCATAATGAGTTCATCCTTGAGCACACGAAGACATCAAATTGGAGGTGCCGAGCTGAGCAGGAAATTGGTGACCAGACGCCCCAGAAGAAGGCACATATTTGAGGAATGCTTGGGTCTATATAGTGAAAGTGGGCTTGAGATACTGACAACACTGGAAAGTGACTGTAGAATTGAGGCAGGAGAATAGGTTCTGGAGGCAGGAACCTAAGGCCAATTTATGCTGACTTCCTAGAACTAAATCAAAAGGAAAACCCTAACTTTCCACACCTAAGTAACAAAAGAACCAGAGGCTACTCCCTTTGCAAACCCCACCCCCTTTTTCTGCATGTCAGATGGAAAGTTGAAAGTATCTCTGATTGGTTGCTTTCTGTAACCAATCAGACATTTGCATAGGAGTGTAACTTTGTGACTTCACTTCAGCCTCTGATTGGTTGCTTTCTACAACCAATCAGACGCTTGAATAGGGTGTAACCTTCATCACTCTAGCCTCTGAATGGTTGCTTTTTGCAACCAGTCAGACTAATTGCAGGCCACTACTTCATTTACATAGTAACCAATGGGAAATGTACCAATGGTTACTTGGAATGGCACCAAGTAACCAACAGGAAACCTCTAGAGGGTAATAAAACCCCAGAAAATTCTATAAAGGGGCTCCTGAGCCCCTGTGCTCAGGCCTGGTCCCACCCTGTGCTTTCATTTTCAATAAAGCTCTGCTTTTGTTGCTTCATTCTTTTCTTGCTTTGTTTGTGTGTTTTGTCCAATTCTTTGTTCAAAACACCAAGAACCTGGACACCCTCCACCAGTAACAGAATGAGAAGACAAAAGAGGTCAAGATGGGTGGTGAAGAATGCCAGAATTTAATGGCGCAGCCAAAGAAGCTGAAAAAGAGATAGTGACCAGAGAGAGAGAGCCTATGGAACAGCATTTCAACAAGGAGGGTGTAATTGGATCACAGAATGTGTAGTAATTCAATAAGGTGAAAACTAAATGCCTACTGAATTTAGCAACACAGCCATCATTATCAGTGTTGAAAAGAGATGTCTGATGGAGTGATAGAAGAAATGATGCTGGAGTGGTTAGAGAGTGGGAGAAACTGAGGGATAAATGTGAGGGCAAAACCTTTAGAGATGGGGGTAGACACAGAATAAGAGGGGCAGAGAGACAGTTTTTGGCTGGAGAGGTGAGGCGGATGGTGGACTTTGTCAGGCTTGGAGAGACTTGAGAATGCTGAAGGGCTCAACAACAGACAGGGAGAGAATACAGATCCAGGAGAGTGAGGGAATAATGGATAAGTTAAGGTGGTATTGGCACCAGAAGATTTGACGTTTCCTTCCCATACACTTGAATCAGATGGAATAATAACATTGGTAATACCATAACAACTAGAAAATATTAAGCACATACTATAATCCAGGCATTTTACTAATTAATGTAATGTATGGTAGCAGAATAATGGCTCCTTAAAGATGCCCATGCTGTCATCTCCAGCATCTGTGAATCTATTTACATGGCAAAACGGACTTTGCAGTTGTGAGATGCCGGGTTCAGGACCTTGAGATGAAGATGATATTCTAGATTAACCAGGTAGGCCCAATTAAATCCTATTAAATCTTAAAAGTGAAGAGCCTTTCCAGGCTGTGGTCAGAGAAAGATGTGAAGATGCAGGAGTGGTCAGAGAGATAGAACAGTGCGGCTGTGAAGATAAAGTTAAGGGTCATGAGCCGAGGGATGCAGGCAGCCTCTGAAAGCCAAGAAAGGTAGGAAAGTGGATACTCATAGGAGGACAAACGGTATAGTGAACTGCATAAGTGAGGGATCTAAGTTGCCCATTCCTTATGAGACTCTAATACTTGATGATCTGAGGTGGAACAGCTCCATCACGCCACCATCCCCATTCTCCAATGTCCCCCATCCTCTGGTGAATGGAAAAATTGTCTTCCATGAAACTGGCCCCTGGTGCCAAAAAGGTTGGGGACCGCTGCCCTAGGGGCATGCACCCCAATTTATAAAACAGGCTTGGGATAGCATGGTTTTGACTTTAGGCTTTATGACTTACTACTTTAGTAATCTGGGCAAGCTGCTTACTCTCCTTCTCTGATTCTTCGTCTGGTAAATCAGGATGATACCTCCTAATTTGCAGGATTGTTGTGTGGTTTAAATGACATGATGTGTACAAAACCTGTAGTGCCTGGTTTTCAGCAAGCTCTTTACTTATTACTTACTTTCTCACAGAGTTTTAATTACTATTATTTGTGTTTCATGGTCTTTGTTTTTAAAGTTTCATTACTTTCTACTGACTCCTATAATTAAGCTGCAGGCAGCCCTGCAGTTAGACGTGGTGCATCTAGATGGAGCCAGATCAATAGCTTTTTCATGCTGCATTATTGCAAATATGGCGCAGCTGCGTCTTTGACAGAACTGAAAATTGAGGAGGAGACATCTGGAAGAACCTATGTGCATTTTACTCTGTGCAAAGCACTATAGGAATTGGGAGGGAGGGAGAAAGGGAGGACTCACTGACTGTCAGACTCTTAAAAATGAATGGCCCGACTGTTCAGCAATTGTATATCTGTGAACAGAAGCTCTCTTTTACATCAGCTGTTAGTCACTGCCCTTTGTGATTGGGAATCAGGCTTGAAAATTCTCTGACTGTATTTTGAGCCATTTTTATCTGTGCCTTTCTGTGGGTGACTTTTTCCTAACAGAGTCCCTTGAAAACATTCAGTCTCATTTACCACCATTCACTAAAAATTTCACCTTTGATCCCAAGTCGGAGTGTTTTTTCCTTCTTTAACCCCCTTTTAGAGTGCGAAGTTTGTTGGGTTTGTTTGGCACAAAGTCAACCAGAAAAGGAATGTCCTTGAAGGTATATCAGTCAGGTTTCCAACTAACAGATGACACCCTATTGTTAGGATAATTTGAGAAGGATTTATTTTTAAAGGAGCTAATTTTGAAGGGTGGAAGGGGGTTGGGGCAACCACGAGGCATAGTGCAAAGATTCAGGGATAACAGCATTGGAGTTGTTACTATTTCTTGGCCCAAAGAGAGAAAGGAATGGAAAGTTTATTAGAACTTGGAAGCAAAGAGAATTGTGTAGAGCCGTACACCTTTAGAGAAACAGTGAATTTCTATTAAGGAGCAAGCCAATCCAAGATGTCCTTATAGAAAGGGGAGAATAAATATTCTGACTACTCTACTCCTTCCCTCCATTCTTCTGCTGGGATTTTATTGGCCAAACCCAACCA